TGTGGTTGTGCATTTTGTCCCAAATGACCTATCTGAAAAAGTCAAAAATTGACTTTGAGGTACAAAATTTTGAAATTGTCATTATAAATAGACTTTTAAGTGTAAAATTATGTTGTAGCAAAAAAATTTATTTTTTCAAACAACTAATATTTATCTCTAAAAGTTTTGTCATTACAATTGTAAAATTACAATGGGGGACCATCAAATAATTAACTTTTAAAGATGGAATTATAAAAAAATGTGGTGGTAAAAAATTTTAATTTTTGAGATAATTAAAATTGGTCTCTAAAAGTTTTGATTTTTGAGCAACTAAAATTGGTCTCGCAACTAAAATAACAGAATTGGGGGAGGGGGGGTGGTGTTTGCTAAGTAGTCCTATATGAAGTCCCATATGGGTAAATATTGATCTTTTGAGTGAGAGCATGAATTTGAGTTCGGAGATGAGAACAACAAATAACAGGGGAGACAAAGAAGTGAGTTTTTTTAGTTCAAAAGCATGATTTGAAGGGTGGCTGCAGGGAGCATCTATTTACACACCCCAAATACTCTCTTTGCACATCTTTCTCACTACACACACCAAAAAAATTAATTCCTAATTAATGTACTCACTACACACACGGTTTATTCCACATCTGCCCTCACACACACACACACCCCCCAACCCCAAACCCAGCTCTCTCCCAACGGTGCAAATACACACACCCATTGAAGCTTAAGCTACATCTTCAACCTTGAGGATACATACACCCATTGAAGCTTAAGCTACATTTTCAACCTTGAGGATACACACACCCATTGAAGCTTACCGTGTGCAAATACACACACACAGCTTTCATCCCCAAAGCTTTCATCCCCAAATACACACACAGAGCTTTCATCTTCAACCTCTGTCAGTAACAATAAATCACAAACCTACTGTTGAAATAAATCACAAATGAATTAATCAAAACGTAGAGTTTTGTTTTTATCATTTTGAAAACGGACGAAGGCCCACGGAGTGTAAACAAATCGTTCGAAACTGGTTTGCCGAAATTAATTCATTTGTTCGGAAGTAGGATTCCAAAATTGGTGATTTATTTCAACAGTAGGTTTCCGAAACTTTTTGATTATTTCGGCAGTCAACTTCCGAATATATTAAATTCAAACAACAATCAAGTTCCGAAATTAATTTTTTGTTTCGGATTTCAACTTTCGAACAGTATATATACTTTCGGTTTTAAACTTCCGAACAGTGTTTTTCTTTTTTTTCTTTTTCTCCCTTCTTATGTATATTCCTTTTACATTTGTGGTAATCTCTTATTGAGTGATAAATAATTTGAGAAAATGTATTAAAATTTTAATTATTGTAACATAATTTATACCTATATGAATCAATCACTACGTATTGTATTTGATATTATTTTCAAATGTAATGACATTGCATGTTTTGTATAACATCACAAATTTTTAATGGCATTATAAAAATTAATTTGCAATTCGAAACTGTAAATTTGGTATACAGTTTGCAAAAAAAAATTTTTTACTTCATTCGGAAGTAGTTGTCTGAATTTATGTTCAACTTTTGGAAGTTGAATGTTGTAAAGTTAACTTTGTTCGGACAACAACTTCCGAAATTAAATAATTGGTTCGGACAACAACTTCCGAAATTTATTAGTTTGTTCGGACAACAACTTCCGAAAATAAATAATTATTTCGGTAGTAGATTTCCGAACCAAATAACACAATTCGGCTCTGGTTATCCGAACGACGCTGGAAAAAGAAAAAAAAAAAAAAACTCGCATTTCCTTCGCTATGTTTCTCATAAACACTTATTTGCTGATTTTCAGAAGATAAATCCTCCATATCAATGATGAATGAGGAAGAAACTATGAATAAGGAAGGTTGAAGCTTCAGTTTCAACGTGAAGTTTGGATGTATACATTGAGATGAACGTGAAGTCAGGATGTGTGCATTGAGATGAATTTGGTTGATGTCTAAAATAGTAATTTTATTTAGGGATAAAATTGTAATAAAATTAAATATCATTAAGTGTGTGTATAAGGGGATTAGGTGTGTGTATATAGAAGCTTCCGTGGCTGCATTATGCATAGGTGCTATTATTGACTTGGATAGCCCCACCAATTTGAATTTTTTTGTCTTCAAAGTTAACAGAAGTGACTGGTCAGACAATGGGCATGTTAAAATGATGCCTGCATTGAGGGTTCATTTGGCATATTAATATTTTAGTTAATATGTTAAAAAGTCATTAAAATAATTAAAAAATCATATAATATCAATTAATAAATTCTTTCGCATCGTATTTTAACTCAAAAAATATCAAAAAAGTCACTTCTCAAACAAACTTTCAAAGAAGTGTGTACAATGACAATACATGATGAGCGTTGCCTATGGGATGTGGCTTAGGAGAGGTTAAGCTCTCCCTTAAGACCTAATCTAACAATTAATGATTGACCTTTGAATGCAACTGGTAACACCTTTGGACCAAGGAATGTATGAGAGTCTTTTCGTCATGTTTGTTTGGCTCCATGAATGAGAGAATTGGACTAATAGTAAGGGAGGGTCATATAGAGTGTTTAATTGTGGAAGGTTGTGATGGGATATTTTGATTGGGTAGATTAGAGCATGGAATTAAGATTATTAATCCGTGACTCAATTATCCTATGTTTGTTTTAACATTTTGGTTTAGGATTATTAATCCAATGGATAATTAATCCAACAAATTTGTAAGATTAGTAGTAATGGAATAGGGGTGAGATTATTAATCCAATTGGATAGTGAATACCACACTAATTTAATAGGATTGTTAATACTTCACTATTAATCTTGTGAATCAAACATGACCCAAAGGGACTAGCAATCCCCCTTCTTGGTTGGACTAGCATGGAAGGAAAACACATGGGATTAGAAATCTAGTGATACGATTAATGGATTAAAATATTAATTAAAATAGATTAAAATATTTTTAATATTTTTTTTCAAATAATTTATTGTGAAAGAAATATTTAATTTTTTTAATAAATACTATAGAAATATGATTTATTTATTTATTTTATATTAGTGAATTTTTAAATAATTTTTATGCAAAATTTATATTTTTTTAAGTGTCTAGATTAAGTGGACTTAAAAAGTATAAAAATAATTATTATTATAATATTGAAAAAATACTAAAAAATAAAAAAAATAAAATTTATATATTAATATTATCTATAGTATTACAAATCTGGTGGTATAAAAACAAACACTCTTTATCCTACTTCTCCAATCTAATACCACCACACTAAAAATCTCCTTACTTAATCGCACTGTACTTCCAATCCCCTCCATCCTATGGAGCTAAACAAACGAGACCTTTAAGTTTTTATAATCAGCAATACTACAAATCCAGATTTAACTACCTAGAAATTATTTAGAATGTTCGTCTTGTGGTTTAGATTTATTCTACATATGGACTTTACACTACATAAATTTAATCTTTATCACATAATCACTCATCCAGAAAAATTTGGGTGGTTTTTTTTTTGTATAAATATTTTCATGGTAAATTGTAATTAGTAGGTAGGGGTGCAACTTGGATAAACTCAATCCGAGCCCAGTTAGATTTTTTTAGAGTTTGAGTAAAATATTTTTGAATTTGGCACAAGTTTAGGTAAAAATTCAAAAATCTTAATTAAATTTGGGCAAATTTGGATAAAAACACCAAATAACCAAAGCAACTCCAAACCCAAATTATATATAGAAATATAAAAAAAATATGCATATAAATGATTAGTTATTGGATGATGTTAAATTAATTTAGATTGTTAAAACATATTAAATATATATTATATATATAAATAACACAATACAAATCCTTACCCTTTTTTTTTTTTCTCTTTCATAAATGGCAAAGACCACCGTAGCGGCACATTAGTTATTCAATTCTTATCCCTATCACATTCTATTAACTATTTATTTTGATTTTATTAAGGATTTTATTTTTTTTAAAATGTAAATAGAATGTAATTTTAATAAATTAATTAATTTAGTTGTGCAAAAAAAAAAACCTACTCAAGTTCATTTACAATTCGGGTGAAGATTGGACAAATCACCTCGAGTTACAAATTTGGATTTGAACGAATCTGAATAACTCTTAATACAATTTAAACTACACCCGAACAATCTCTCAAACCACTGTGATCCCGTTCGAATTACATCCAATTAATTAGTCTCTCCATTCCTTCACTGAAAATATGCATCAATGATTGGGATCATTGACAAACCAAATTTAAAATTGGTTTGGTTAACCAGTTACGAGCGTAAGATGTGTCTTGAAAATATTTATAATTTTTTTTTTAAAAACAAATGAATTTAAAAATGTTGAATTTTTTTATTTTTAATTTTTTCCTTGTTTCTTAGAGAAGCTTATTTATTAATAAGTCTAAGAATACAAACCATCAAATATAGAATGAGACACATATATTTGACATGAGGTAGGTCTCATGTGTAGGACCCATACCATGTGAATCCTATTCCATATGAAACTACACATTTTCATACAAAAAAACCATTATTTGGTTTCTATTTTCGGGATTAATTTTTCAAAAAGTTGAAATTTTTTGTTTTCACTAACTTTTTTTAATATTCTAAGCAATTTCTTTTGATTTTTAGATACATCTAACATAAATACACTTAAAAAGTATAATATTTGTGGAAAAAAAATCTTTAGAAAATTCACTAAATACAAAAAAATATTTTTTTTTAAAATGGGACTAATAAAAGAGAAAGGATCCTATAGAGTTTTTTTTTCTTAAAATTTCATAGAGTGGTGAATTGTGTGGTTGAAATTTAATGACAAGTCATATCAATTTTTTAACATTAAATTTCAACCACTTTAAACCAGTTTAAGAAACGTTAAGAAAAAAACAAGAGGATGCTTGGTTGGTGCTAATAGAAAGGTAACGGTCATGAGATTTGAAAATTCAGTATGTTCAAATAAAATAAATGCCGTTTAAAGGGACAAACCAGCTCACTTTTTCTCTTCTAGGATCCCAATTCCAACGCTCTCTCTATGACTTTCCATCATCATCATCCTCTAATTAAGTTCAGAAAGCAACAAATCTCATTCACTTTAATCATTTGAAAGAAACCAATCTCATTCATGTCTCAAACCCACAACAATCTTTCACTCCAATCTCTCTCTCTCTCTCTCTCTCTCTCTCTCTCTCTCTCTCTCTCTCTCTCGGCCATGAAATTTGCAAAAGCCATGAAAAAGCTCAAGTTCTGGTCAAGAAAGAACAAGAAAAAGAAGAAAACCACCACGCACATCACCAATCACCACCACCCTCCTCCACCACTACCACCACCATGCCACCACTGCCACTCATGGCTCCCTGCCCCGGTCCAGCCCTCGGCCCCGCCATTGCCACCATGGTTCGAGTACGATCAGACCCACAACACCTTCTCAGCATCAGCAATTGGTTCTAGTCAATCTGAATTCACCCAACAAGAAATTGTTCCTGAGCTGAATTCAATGTATTCAACCTCAACTGTAGTGCCTGTTGGCAATGGGAACACATCTTATCAACAATATATGGTTCCGAATCCGGTGTATGGGGTCCCTGTTGTGCCTGCTGCTAGGAAAGAGAAAGCCACCGGATTTTTCGGGTGTGTTTTTAACATCGGTAGACATTTGATCCGATGCTTTTGTCCGTGTTTCCACATCCGGGAAGTGGATTAGAGCAAGATGGAGCATTTTCATCGTATGTTCAATAATGCAACGTGCATAGAAAAGCATACAGAAATACGTGCACAGAAAAAAATGCGCGTCACATTAATTTTTCTGTGGGTATTTCTGTGTTTTTTTACATTTCTTTGCACTTTTATGTGTGCGGGAAAAAATGCAAAAATGTGCACAAAAATATCAATGAATGGTTTAGATTATCTTAAAATTAATCTGAAACACAAATTGACTTTATTGTGTATATTTTGTAAATATGTTTCCGTGCACATAGCAATGTGGTTTCTTAGGTCCTTAGGGGACAACCAGAAATCCAACAATAATCATAGAATTCATATGAGAAACCCATATCTACATATGAAATATTTTTCTAGCAAAAGTAGTCTTGGATTTTAATGTTGAATTTCTAATTGTAAACTGTGTCAATTATATGAGGTGTATCATTTACCTATGGGTTCTGTTGAATTTCTAGTTGTAAACTGTGTCAATTATATGAGGTGTATCATTTACCTATGGGTTCTCTCTCTCTCTCTCTCTCTCTCTCTCTCTCTCCACTTATAACTCTTCCCAGAAGCAACTATTTGCAGATCTTTTGAATTGCCCTGATTGTCATATATAGCAAATGAAAATTTCTTTGGGTAAACTATCAATAGGTCTTAATAATTAATTTATTCTCATCAAGTCCTATTAAAAATAAGTCTCACTAAAATTCTCGCTAAAAATAATTTTTTTGTGATAATTTTTTATATATGTCACTAAAAATTGACAATTAATAACTTTTTTTGTCATGATTTTTATAAATTGCCACTAAATCTTACAATTAGTGATTTTTTTTATGACAATTTTTTTCCATAGAACCTAATCTACACGTAAGTACTTCAAATTCTTTCTGCCCGAATTATAAGCAGAGACAATAATAACATCCCTCTTAACAATGTTGGAAACGTCCTCCAAAAATAAAAACACCAATGTTGGAAACAGTATTATCCTCATATTTTGCTTAATGCATTGTATACCAACATCCACACTTGTGGCCAGTAAGCCATCTACTGTGCTTTTATTCTCAGTCCCCATTAGTACATCCAACTGACTCTGTCCATCTTGTTCCCTAAACCCAATTTTAACAGAAGCCTCGTGTAATGAGTTACCCTTCTATTTGATTTTTGAAGAACTTAATTTCTGTCCAGTCCTCTAAAAAGACTGGACAGTCCAGTTTGGACCCATGAACCCACCCAGGTCCTACTTCAATTATTCGATTGTTAAATTTTTTCCAGAGTGCTAAATACACTTGATTCCAATATTGGAGTTCATTGAATCATTGCTGGGTCATTCTAAAAGTAAACCATCAAATTCCCTGCAATTGAAAAAATATATATATATATTGGCAAGCAAGGCTCAATTTAGTGAGTAGAGCCTGATGCTCGTTGACTCAATTAATATGTACAAACGTTGAAACCATGACTAGCTACTTCATGATCAGTTTTTCAGAAATATATAGCATTCTCTTCCACATACTTAGAATGTCACTCGCCAATGATGTACTCGTTTTACCTTTCCAGCAACCAAATCTACCCAACTAAAAACAGCATGGATATATAGTTTCAACTAATCCTGTACTTGGATTCTTTGAACCTGCATTAAGAACTGTTTTTCTTATGACCACGAGTCCGATACTTTCTGCTATGCTTCTTCTCTCTCCCCCTAAATTCTTGGCACTCTTCAGCAGAACCACCCTCCTCCAAGCCATCTGAGCTTTTCCCGTCTCTCGATCTGCTTTCCCTGTAACACTCGTCAGAATTCAGGTCATGACAATTAGAAGTCCTGCCATCTTGGTCAAAATCATCACCACTGAATTTTCTTCTAGACGTGTGGTGCTTTTCAGGACCAATTTTTTCAGATTCCCACCGACCTCGTTCGTCAATGTCTTCATCAGAATAACACCCAGAATCATGTGACTTACTTCTCGGACTATACCAACGTACGCTGTTGGACTCATAACTCTCATCACTAGAAGTGTCTCTAAAAGATTTCTGGTGCTTTAAGGAAAATTTGTCTCTAGATTTTGGATGACCCATCTTATCAATGTTTTCGTTGGAGTTGTATCTTGAATCCATATCATGTGATTTTAGAACCTTGGCAGAAAAATTAGATTCACTTGGCTCTATGCTTGAACAATCCCATCTGCTTGACTGACTTGATTTCTTTACTCTTTGTGTCTCAAGTTTCTCCGAGTCAGATTCCCTTTGGTTATGTTTATCTTTCAACTTCTTCACTGAGTTACCATGATCATCAATGAACCCTAATCCTTCATTTGAATGCCTTGACCGTTTTCTCTTGTGCCTGTGGTGTCTATCTCTGTCCTCTTCCCTGGAATCACTATCACGGGTTCTGTCCCTATTATCAGGAGACCCTGGCACAGTGTTCTGATGTCTTGAGCTTTTCCTCCTCTGCCTGTGGTATGCGTCTCTCTCTCTGTCCTCATCAGACAAGTGTCCACCAGAATCAGTTCTGGTCTTGCTCTCATAATCATCTGGGTTTCCATACACTTTCTTCCGGTGACTGGAGCTTTCCCTCGTGCTAACATGGTCTGTTCTTGCTTTCCCTCCACCTCTGTCCTTATTCGACCAATCTCCATCAGAATCAGAGTCATGCATTCTGTTCTTGCTTTCAAGTTTGTTTTTAGAATTCATTTCTTCTCCATGATTTTTTTCATCAATAACTTCTATTGCATTTCTACTGCCACTTGTGTGCCTTTCCCAGTGCCTGCTCCTTCGAGCATCATATTCCTCATATCGGCTTCTAGAAGAATCCCTCTCTCTCGAGCGAGATCTTCTGTAGTGTTTCCTGCAGAAAATGAAGAGGACCATGACAAGTTTGCAAAAAAAAACCCTAACAATGAAGAAAAGATTCAAAAAGACCATACCATATAAATGAAAATAAACTAATTATTCCCCACATGAAGAGGCTGTGTTGACTGTAGGCAAAGTCCTAGCAAGAGAAACTTGCCCTAAGAATATTCTTAATGAGAAACTGCTTCCGAAAACAGAAGGCAGATCACTAGAACGAGGAATTCTTCCAAAAACAGAAGTATAGGACAACTTGAGCAAACATAACCACCCAAATGAAACCAGGGAAATGGGAACCCTAGTAAAAATCATTCAGTTTGATTTTTTTCATCAAACAGCAAATGCAGCAACCATATAGCACAAACTTGACAAACTTGGATATTTACAAACTTGGCAATTTAATTTCTAAGACTAGAAAGATATCAAATTGGAAATTTGTATAAAGGACAATAATTATTACCCGGTTTGACTTATACTTTTCTGAACGAGGGGTAAAGGCAAACAGCAAATTCTGCTATTCCAATTTTCTTTTCCTTCTCACAATAACACAAATTGTGGAACATCTCTAGAACAAGAATTGCATTTTGGCTATCACACGAGTTATAATTACACCAAATCGAGATAGCAGTATCCCAGTTCAAATAATTTCTTTTAACACCGATATATCCGTGACTGTTGCATTGGTTCTACACTATGAACTGTGTCATCAAAGAGTACAACAGACAGAACAGACGCACGATGGGCGGCATCTTCGGAGGGAGCTGACATTGTCTTAATTTGGTTAAAGGGTTTTGACCTCTTATGGTTTGTTCGAGGCGGAAGATTAAAATTAGAATAATGCTTTGTTGCTCGGAATTGTTGGCTCGAAATTGGCCCGAATACCCAAAACGACGTTTTGGGTTTTTTTTTTTTTTTCTTTTCTTTCTCTTGCTTCAAATACAAACAGAGGGGAGAGAGAGAGAGATGAGAGAAGTGGAAGAGAGAAGAGGCGATGGCGGAGGAGGAAGAGAAGGAAGATCGACGGTGATGGTGGTCACTCTCTGCCAGTGAGTATCGCCCCTCTGTTTTCTCTACTCCCCCCCCCCCCCTTTCCAGTAGATCTGGATCTGAGGATGAAGGGGGGAAAAAAAAAATTGTTGATGATGATGATGTGTTGATGATGAAGGTGTTGTTGATGTTGATGATGATGATGAAGATTTTGTTGATGATGATGATGTGTTGATGAAGATGTTGATTCTCTCTCTCTGTTGATGTTGTTGAAGATGATGATGTGTTGATTCTCTCTCTTTCTTCTTCTTCTTCTTCTTTTTCTTCTTCTTCTTCACCTTCATCTTCTTCATCTTCAGAAAATCAGAAAAACGAGAAAGAAAAGAAAAAAAAAAAAACCAAACGTCGTCGTTTGGACTCGGGCCATTTGAGCCTTCCCTTTTTCGAGCTACCAACCGGGATTGTTAGAATTAAACCAAAACTAATTGCCAAGAAGTTTATCATAACATGGAGAGGTAAGAATTCCAGCCTCCTAGAGTAAATGAATTGTATTAACTACTGCTAAAAGTACAGGCACACCTGTCTGGATCTGTTGCCATCATCCTGCTGGAGTTCCTCCTTTCTTGTTCCATCTGGTAGTCATACCCAGATTCCTCTGAATAACCAAACAAAGCAGCCATCTTCTTCACCCAATACTTTGGAGGTTGTTTATCCCAATCAGCCCATTCATAGTCTCCACCAGGGTTGCGGAAACAGTGGATAAAATTGCATGCTGTCCCACGAGAACATGTCTGACAAGAAGGATTAAATATGTATTATTGTCAACAGGCAAGAGGACCATAATCCCAAATTCAACATCAAAGAAAATACACACCGATTGTTCTGTTATGACTTCAAACAAAATTTGGGATATCTCAATTCAATAGAGAAGCAGAACTGAAATCAACAGAAGATGATTGATTTTATATTTATATGGCTCAGTTGAGGGATGTACTGTACCTTAAGCCTTGACTTCATGTACTCTCCGCATATGGCAACTTTCCATTTGGTCACACCGACAAACTCGCATGTTAACTATCAAGAAGCCCAAAACATGACATTACGATCCAGCAGTAACAGTAAGAAAACCAAAGGCATATATGCAAACAAATTTGGAAATATCAGTATGTGAACATTAAATGGTGTCCTATCCCCAATCCCTATGCTTATCTGACATGTATTAAAATCAAATACATGTCAACACAGCAAGAAAATGAACCAAGAAAACAAAAATTTAAAATCCAACTGTGCATTATTGGTGTGACTGGACAAAGAAGCAATAACCTGTAAAAATTGTGAAAGCATGTAACTACGATACCAAGTTGCCAGCAGAGCTTGTAATTCATATTGTATTTGTTACATGGATATCTATAAATAGTTTCACGCGCGTAAATACATTTTGCAGAGGTCCAAGAATTCAATTTCTGTTGGTAGGTTTTTTGAGTAACTTCTAAAATATAGTACATATCATCATATCCTTAATTTACAGCATCAATATAAGTAGAAGAATAGCAATCTTGCAGCTGTAACAATTGTGGGAAGTATGGCATGCACACAAGATTTCCAGTAAATAACTCAACATGTAGCACAACAGACAGCACTCCCAAACCAAAACAACATAAGAGAGCAGAGGAAGTGAATAAGACCCAAGTATCTGCATAAGCAATAGTCAGCACAGAAAAAATTGTGTTTAAACAACCATAGTAGACAACTCCAATCCATCATGGGAATGAACCCCTAGAACGAAAAGCAATAATTGCATGATTTGTGTTAACATTTAAGTAGTAAGCATGATGTGTCAATAAGGTAGTTAAGTTTATCAACAAAAAAAATACATATATACATCACCCTTTTTATCCATAATACCACTACAAACAAGCATTTTTGGTGCCCTTCAATCTACATGACCCTAGCAATAATCTTGCCACTAGATTAAGGCCATGTTGCCGCTTGAATGCATGATCATATTCTAACACACAACATCAAGCTAACCTCATCATAGCAAGTCACCAAATTTTGTAGTTAACATGAGTAACAAGCCGAAGGAATGAACTTGATGGGATACCTACTGTTCTAGGACCAAAAATTATTTAATAAAACATGGAAGGATCCAAAACAGTATAGCAGTGAAGTTCTCATGCGCCAAATTCATTAGCTAAATTAGCAGAATGCAGAAAATTTGTCAAAATTCATTCTTAACAACTAGAAGAGCGTTAACTTGAATGAAAAGAAAATGTAATACCAGTTTGCCTGCAAAATAGCGACCATTTATAGATTGATAAGCAAGCACAGCTGAATCCAATGACATATAATGTACGTACACGTTCCCCCGCAAATGAGATGAACCATTTTTGCAAACCTGAAAATAAAGATAATATTTTTCATGCTTCAAGATTCCAACTAGATTAAAGAAAGCTCCAATATTTCATTGCAGACAACTTCAATATACTCTCTTTTGCCAAAATTCATATCTCATGGTTTCAATCAAATAACTTGGAAAATGGGGGAATGATTAGAGTTTCCCACGATACCAAGTGCACATAATATCAAGCAGAGACTTTCCTTCTGTTGGTACTTGAGAGGCATGAAAGGGAATAATTTCATGTATTTTATAAGCGAAGAAACAGCAACTTATTTCATAATTCAAGACCAAGAAATTTCAAATTATTGTAAACGAACATCATCAAGGGCGAAAAAAAAAATGTTGAAGTTTTTTGGTCATTAAATGGAACTATGTGCAAATGAAGTGAAAAGGCATGTTACAAACAGAAATAGATATTGCTGAAGTCTGGGAGACAAAATTTCCAATTATTGTAAAGTAGCATCATCAAGAAAATAAAGTTTGTTGAAGTTTTTGGTCATTAAATGGGCGTTGTGTTCCAAATGAAGTGAACAGACATATTTTAAACAGAAATAGATATTATTGAAGCCTAGGAGACACTCAACCACCTTAAAATTTACAATTTCCCCAAACTTCAAGAACTCTGTATGCACATCCTCATAGAACTCTTCATAACAGCGATCAACCTCTTCATCCGTATGCTGAAAAGAAAAGACAAGGCAAAATCATTTGAATTATAAAAGTAAATATGTGCACATAACAAGCAAACTGAGGGACCAGAATAAGTAGCACAGATTGCTACAACAAAAAAATAGACAAGCCCTTCATCTTGATAGGCTAATGCTAACAAACAGATGCACAGCACTCCAACCCAAACAATTGTATGCATATGCATGCATTTAGTATTGCTCAACACAAGGACCCATGTAAACACCAAAAAAAAAAATTCTTTCTCAAACAATCATTCAGATGAACTAAAGTTCTCAACTATGATTCAAATCTATCAGTTTCTATTCATGATGTCTGATTAGATCTCCAAGGGAAAAGAACAGTCCACAACCAAAAATAAACACCTATCTTTTCGTAACACAATTAGCAACTAGCCAGCATGATTAAAAAAATTACAGAGAAAATGGGGTTTATTCACCTCAGAGACACTCAGTACACTGACTTCCCAGCTATCTAACCTATGCATGGTCTATGAATAACATATCCATGACTTTGGAGGAAAATGGAGAAATTAGATGACGGACCTCGTACAAACAACTTGTTTTCAAAAAGGTATTGTATGGCTTGTAGAAAGAAAAAGAAGCCTAAACCAGATGTATTGAATTGAATCTAATCAAGTCAAGGAAAGAATGCAACAAATACAAATGTTAGCCTTTGCAAAATATAACGTGTGGCCATAACCATACAAGGGGGCAAAATACAGAAAAATTAGTGACCAACTCTTGTTAGTTGGGAAAAGGCTTTATGGAGTTAGGATTAAGAAAAGACTTTGGAATAGGGAAGTGTGGCAGACGAGGGTCTAAAAATTGAAGTAGATGCATTATGGATCTCTACATCAAACAGCTGACATGCCCCTGGGCCCACTGCCCAAGCCCCCTATAGTCCTCCTGGGAATACGTAAAGTATTCAGTAAAGGACGCCATAGAAAATGGGACTTAAAACCCCAGATATGCAATATATACATATGTTTAGCACCTAGCTATCTAAAAGGAAGGAATAAGATATACTTAAAAAAAAAAGGAATTAGTCTACGAAATTGAGCCAAAAAAAATTGAAGGAGAAGGAATATCATCAGTAAGCCAAAAACATGCAAAAATAGCTTTTTTCATCTTATGGTTTCACTCTTTCAGAAGTTCTGCCACCCCTTCCCCTCCAAATAGAACACATCAAACCCAACAGAGACACATCCCAGGCATTCCTCAAACCAACAGGCCATATCCCAGGACTTCCTCTTTTGCAAGGTATGATATAGCATATAGCAGCAACTGGAACAAGTGTTTGATACTCCAGTGGACACATAACAGTGGTACTTCTACAGCATATGCAACTAAGTCACAAAAGAGAGAGGCCTAGAAAGGAAAAAAGTTATATTTATTAGATCTACTCCTTGTGTAAATGTGCAGAATTGGCAAAGCACATCAATGTCGAGGGAATATAACTTCTCAAGCAAAAAAAAGGACTCGGATGTTTTTTTAACAAGATTGTTATTAGCAAGCTTTGTAGCATCTAATAAGTACATGGTGAAGGAAAACAAGAATAACGGATAAACATGGTCTGTACATGAGAAGAAGAAAAAAATGTAATGCCCTGAGCCCAAGAGATGCATTTCCTAAGCATGATAAATGAATAAAGGTTATAAATTCTGAGATTCAAATTTTTGAAAATCAACAACAAAATTTATATAAAAAGAGAGATAGGAGGACAAGAAGTCCTCATACAGAGAAAAAAAAATTCTGAGATTCAAATGATCACTAGGTCGTCATTAACAAGGATGTTTTCATATTGCTTGAGCAACATATGGCAGAGATAAATGGCAAAGAGGGAATCCAGAAGCATGGTAGCCATGAAGGAGAGAAGAGAGCAGCAGTTTTTTTTTTTTTTTTTTTTTGGAAACTTTATTAGAGGAGTATCAAGGCGAAGCAAAGAATACAAAAAGAACAAAACCCATAAAGGACCCAAAACAAAACTAACTAATTAAGGCCTCCAAAAAATCAACAAATGTCAAAACATCAAGATCCACCGAAACCGTAACCCAACTATGAAGCACCACAGGAAGACGATTCTCTAACCACGGAACTGAATGGGCAACACCTTGAAAAACACTTCTATTATGCTCCAACCACACTAACCAAAGCAAACAATGAGAAGTAGCAAAGAATACAAAAAGAACAAAACCCATAAAGAACCCAGCTGCACCCAAGCCAAACCAAAAATCGCGACAATCAACATCCAGAGTCGTGATATGAATAAGTGTAGTCATTTGGAACAATACAAGTTTAAGTGTGCAACCTGAGGAAACAATGGCACACAATATGAGGAGGCCATAAGTTTAGCCAGAGGCAGAGAACAGCAAACTAAGAGAGCACATTTCTACTTAAAAAGAGAAGATGGTTATTTTAGCCCTTGCAATAGTAGTAATCCTTACCAGGATACTATGCCATGGTTGAAAAAAACCAAAAAAGACCCATGGAAAACTAAAGGGACAGAAAACTACTGAATAGAAATGGGTGATCAAGAAGAAGGAAGCAATATCAGAAAACGCAGAAACATAAAACTTTTTAATAGAGGATGCAGGCAGGACGATCCGTCTCTCCACAGGTTTAGATACATGATTTGCTATATGTTATCCGTATTAACTACATGTAATCTTCAGGGAGATCAGCTATATGTAAAGATGACATTCTTTCATAAGAATTGAAAAAATAGAAATAGTGAAGAACAAGAGTATTATCAACTTATTAAAGAACAACAGTACTACTAATTATGCAAATTAGAACCAAATGCAGCCCCAAGGTCCTAGTAATGAAATTGTTCCCCTAGCATTAGCATTTCCCAGAAGGGCATTCGAAGGGGCACTTAATAGGCATGTCACCACTGAAGAAGGAGCCAAGATTATTAAGAAAGCCAGTCCAGCTGAATGTGGAGGACATGAGGACACGTCAATTGTCAGATGGTAGCAAAGAAGTTGCAGCACTCAGGGCGTGTTTGAAACAGTCCACACACTTAAAAACAAAAACCCTGAAAAACGACTTGATGTCTGCTGAGGCACTGATGGAGATCATTAAAATTAAAACAACGATGAGAAAATAATGTGGCAGGAAGGTAAGCTGACAAAACCACAAAAACATCGAGTCACGAGTATTATGTGATGGTAAACAAAAAATGCTTGTCAGGGCCCAAACTTCAAATTACTTAGAACTGGTTCCCTCTCATACTGACCAGCACACATTTGACACCAAGCAAAAGTAAGGAGATCTACCACAGCTTATTTATCATGTTAGGAAGCAAGCATATTGATTGAAAGTTTATGCTTTACACCACAGTTTTTATCCAGTAATAGAAGTACACGGCTGCTAAGGCAGCATCAGAGAAAGTTTTGTGCTTAGTCCTAATAAGTCACTTGAAGAGTTGAGATTAAACAGGGAATAAATAATGCCGTATTGAGAGGAAAAGTGTCATTTCTTTGGATAAGAGTCAAGGATTCATTGCCAGGAGCAAGAAAGCTATAAAAGGATTACTGGGATACAATATAGTGGTAGATAGCTAAACTAACTAAAGGTGCACAACAAGGTGGATGCACTTTACAGCACGACTAAGTCTTTCAAGCATTATTTAGGCTTGATGTCTGTAGAAGACATAACTGCACTAAGATATTAGAAAAAAGCTCCTCACGTGAAGAAGGTGAGTATTTCACACGGCAATCCACATAAATTATCACATCCTAGGAGGCTACTATTTAAGCATTGTTGTTAGCATAAATAACTAGCATGATAAATAGTAAGATCAAAAAGCAAAGAGGTAGAAGTTAATGAGTCAATGACCATTTTGATACTTATGGCATGTTTCATAAAAAAAAATGCCAATGGCGACGTTCAATGTCCATAGTAGCAATGCATTGTTAGCATTTTTAACTCCCAATGGTTGACTCATTTGTTCCAGAAACTCCAAAATCAACAACAACGCTTTAAGGCAATATAGGTAACAGGCAAATGAAATGTTTTGCAGACTACCACTACTATGTTTTTAGTTGGGAAGTTTGTCAAGCCTAAAACCCATATAATCAATGCTGACTAGTAAAATGGCTACTAACTGTTACAATAACTCTATTACATTATCATTATGTAGTACATACACAGTATATTTAGCTTCATTCCTTTTTCAACCATAATGCGATGTGCATGTTCTTAGTAAATAGGCTGGTTACTGCATCCACATACGAAGTACCCACTGTTGCTTGCAAACCCAAACCTTGTGGAGTAACAATAGTTATCAGGAGGAGATCTCCACAGCGACAAGATCAGATATTGTCCAACAAACTATTAGATGTTAAGGAACTAAAATTCATTTGCAAATGAAGTGATGCAATGCATAACTAAACGATGTATCATCAGAATAAATATTTACATCTTTCTTTTATACCAAAAAGCATAGCAGGTTTACGTAAAGTTGTGATACTTTATTATAGATTGCACTGTCAATTTAAGAAAATAAAATTGAGAACTTTAAAAAAGATAATTACAAATTTAAAAAACACAGTTACTTTTATGAGTTAGATAAACAATTACTAAAGAATGTCTACAATAAACACTCTGAAGTTGAAGCATGTAGGATACAAAATTGCTAACATCCAACCAAGGCCAAAACCATGAATCTCCATTGATGTGAATCTTGAGATGAATGTCTGATTTAAATTGAGTCAAAGAACAGCAATAACAATTTTATCATAAGCTTGTCAAATCAAATTTTAGACTTCACAAATAAGTGTGCATTACAGGAAATCAACCACACAGCAAATGAGAAGGACGAACAACATGCACATAATGTGTGAAGACTTTTACAGATAAATAAATTACAACCCTTCTGCATTGGCAATTAGGAAAACACAACGTAAAAATTTAGGATTTACTCCACATAAGTCGTAGGTAAGGATGTATAATATATTTCTGCAATGGGCATCAGTTCAAGAATCCTATGATCAATCAGCAAGACAAGTACAAGTAAAATCATTTGGAGGCATGCACTATGCAGCATACAGTGCAATAAACACTTCCACATAACAATATATTCACTAAAACAAAAACAAAAACAAAAAATAAGACATGGTGGACAAAGGAGAACTCACCATTCCAAGCTTTGTTCTTTAGTTTCAATTTATTTATTTTTTAAATATCAGGGAAATAAATAGAAAGGTGTATAAAAATAGAACCTTTATGAACAACTTGACAAAAAATATATATCTTGTTTTGATTAGTAGAAGTCTTATCAAGGAAAAACTAACAAGCCAAAAAACTCATGCAGAAGAAAGGTACGCAAGAAAATCACAGGGAAAACGGAAATATGCAGAGGAAAGAGCTAGAGATTAAAGCCATAAATATATAAAATGTATATGGTTCCAACTCATAGAAAGTTACTTACCCAAAAAAAGACTCATACAAAGTGAACTCAAATTAAGCCTCTAAAGTGAGGACCATCAAGGGCCCAGCTGAAAAGAAGACATTTGCCACATCTCAATAATGCAAAAAAAAAATTAAAAAGACTTCAATTATGCATATATTTTATAAATTTTCAAACAACAACCTCCGGCTGCTGGCAACCTCCAATCACCACCTCCTCATGACCAACAACCACATCCGGCCACCATCTACGACCATTAACAACCACCTTTGGTCACCACCTCCCACTAGCCACCCCCTTCACTTGTTTTCAAAACAAAATTTAAAACAAGACTGTATCAATATGTTTTTGTGTTTTCATGTCAACAAAAAATAAACATAAATGTGTTTAATGTTTTTGTAAACAAAAACAAAAAATTGTAACCGTTACCAAACAACACCTAAATAAATCTTCCACACACAAAATACTACCACATACCAACTCAAAGAAGCACCCTAAAAGCGAAACCAGATGTCAAACAAACAATCCCCCATAAAGACAAAAAGGAGAAAAAAAAAAAAAAAAAAAAAAAAAAAAAAAAAGAGAACAATCTGTAATTAAGACTAGCTAATTGTTGGAATTATAGGAGTGGTAGCATGAGTTGAGATGGCATAAAAAAAATCCTTAGCCAATATCATCTTGTTACATTGTGTGCATATACATTTGATTAGAAATATAAATATAAAAGAGATACTTGTAACATAGTTAATTCAGTTAATAAATCCTATTCTATAAAACACCAATTGCGGTAAAGATGCAGTTTTCACTGTTTCAGTATCTGGGTGGGTGCAGATAAATATATATTAACATGTAGAACTGTTATGCTAACTTGGTTGAAAGGGAAAAAAGGAAGAAAAAAAATTAAAAAGAAAACAAAAACTCGAACATAGCACCCCACATGGAAGTTAAATATCACCTATTTCAAAGTACATCGAACACAAACCCGTATATTAGTTTCTTTCATCTACAAAGAATGCCTTATGTATTATAGAAAAGTTAATAACAACAAAAACAACAACAAAAACAATAATAATAATTTTATTGATTCAATGAAAAAGGGAAGAAAATTTCCAAATTAATCATCAGGATACTCGAATCACATGAAGACTTCATTTACAGACCTCAAGCCCTTCATCCTGCTCCCAAGCAAGGCCAGGTCCATTGTACATGTTCTTGATAAGCAACGTGCAAGCTTTATCAGGGTAAAAATGAACTCTGCTGCAACGTGACCCAAATCGACAAGCACCGGTTTTAAGGTGGAAAGGGCAATGAGCTTTATCCTGTCACACATATAATATAAGTTACAAATGCTCTCCATAGAGGTTTTTTTGTACAAGTACAAATGCACTCCATCCATAGAGCAAATGAAAAGCTCTTGTTCAAGACAAGAAAGTGCAACAAGACAACAACCGTCAACACATTTACGAAGATATTGTAACAAGATTACACAAACAGAAAATGAGATATTCAAGAGGACACAAAAGGCATACCTGTTCTGTTCCAAAGTTCGGAATTTGTTGAGCAGCATTCTCCAACAACTGTTGTGCAGAAACCACAGATCCATTCTTGTAATCGGCAAAGGATTCAGATTGTGGAGGAAGAGGATTTGATGTAGGTCTATTAGGATCCTGAAAATTGCATAAATATCTTCACCGTTCAAGTCCTTGCCACAACCAACAGCGGGAGGAGAAAACACCATACAGTAATCTATACAGTAGCCAAATGTCATATGCAAAGTCAAGTAGTAGACATACCTCTTTTTTTATCTGTTGATCCACATCTTTCTTCTTCACCCTGACCTTTTTCTTCTTGACAATTATCTCATTTGCTTGCCAAATAATCTCAGGAGGCCCCTCCTCTACATATTCCCAATCATCATTGTCATTTTCATCCTCGTTTCCAACCTTTCAAATTTTTCACAATTATATAAGGGCAAGCTTTCAGATTACAAAAATACAAATATACATGCCCTCTTGAGGTCCATACATACTACCAAAACCCTAAGACATGGCATAATATAGTTGTCACAAAATCAAAAGAAGCTACTTTGAACTCAACCATAAAATATATCCAAAAACAAGAAAACATGAGAGACATTTCAAGTATTTAACCGCAAAATCATCACATATTTCCAAAGATTTTAAAACCACATATTGATGCCATGCACTGGAGGTAGAAATTTGAAACTAAACTAGGTGTTATGGGCACAATATAGTTCTAATGTTCCACGCGATGTTAACCATTGTCGTCAAATTGTGAATCGTGAATTGTAAGATTCACTTTATTTATAATAAAACATAATTTTATATATGTATATACATATAAAAATACACATATAGTGTTTAAAATGAAATAAATATCAACATAACTAAATTGTATATATTTATAACTATAAAACCACGTAAATATCAATATAATTAGTTGAGCACCTTTTCAATTTCGCAAAAATGACACCATTTCATGCATTGTGCAAACAAAACTGAATTGCATTGAATCGTAACAAATCACGATGAATTGATGTGAGTCACAATTGAATCATAAGATTCACTCAATTAAAGACTCAACACCATGAATCGAATCGTTTTGCTTGAAACTCATATTGAATTGTATTAATCGAACCATGAATGATAAGATTCTAAAAACCATGATATTAAACTTTCAAGCATCTGACAGCAAAATACCTAATTCTAATATCCAAAAGCTAAAGTAAAAATTAAGACAGAGTAACTTGAAATTCCCACACAACTATCACCAAGAAACCCATAAATATTCTCCGAAATCCAAAGTATAACAAAATAGATTAAAATCAACCACTAGTTGCAGAGATAGATATACATACATCACCAGCTGATCCAGTTGAATACAGTAAGCACTAAACAGAAATGCCCATCACAAACAATGGATTTAGGCACTAAACAGAAATTCCCATCACAAACAATGGATTTAGCCCAACTCAATCATAGTATAATTTTCTAAAAGTGTTGCTGGTAATTTTGTTTAACAATTACATACTATAAAGCTCTGTACGCATAATTTGTAAATTAACAAACAAAGACTGAACCTGATTTTGTTTGGATTCTTCTTCTAGGGCTTTTCTCCGCTCTTCTTCCTCCTCTTCGGCCTTCTTCTTCTTCGCAGCCAAGGCCTCAAGAAACACCCTCTCATGCTCCTCAAACTCCTTCCTCTCTCTCTCTAGCCTCTCGTTTTCTCTCTCTTCCTCCATCTGAATCCTCCGCATACATTCTGCTTTACAGCAGGGCTTCTTCTTCTTCTCGCTCCTTCGCCGCCAGCTCCTTCCTCTTCTGCTTCCTCTTCTCCCTCTTCGCTGCCTTCCTCCTCTCCTTTCGACCCGCCGCAACATTCTCCGCCGCCGCCAACGGCGGCTGGGCTTCTTGCACGCATCCCGATGATCCGCCGCCTGCTATTTGCTCCGCCATAATATCATCGCCTATACACACAAGCAAGTGTATCTATATATCTACTATAACTGAAATGTTTTTAGGGTTTTGAGAATCAATCGGATCATTCACAAGATAAAATCATCGGAATCTCAAGAACACCTTCGACGCCCGTTTCGTAGAGCTGCGGAGACGTGCTTATACTTAAACAGCTTATAATTATAAATATAAGTTGATTTTTTACTTATAAATTAAAGAATAAATTAATTTTTGACTTCTAAAAAATTATAAAGTATAAGGTATAAGTTAAATCAAACACATCAAAATAGCTTAAATTAAGTTGAAAGTTGAAATAAGTAACTTTTAAGTTACACCAAATAGGCACAAAAGTACTCTGAAAAACATTAATGAATAGAGTCATGCCAGCAGGGATGGCAATTTGAATCCCAGCGACGGGAAGCCAACCCCCATCTCCGACAAGAGCGATTTTTTTTTGAAAAATACCTCTGACATGTTGGAGATGGTGTTTGAAATTAAATCCTGATCAGTTTCGAACCGGGACAGGAATCACTTTCACAGGCCCAGACCCAGCCCCATCGGGAGCTTCTATCTTTACACACCAAATATCCTTTTTGCACATACTTAATGATATTTAATTTTATTACAATTATATCCTTAAGTGAAATTACTATTTTAGACACCATTGTTGATTCAAAACATCTCAATGCACACCTCCCTCTAGAGTTCACATCTGTTGCATCATGTTTGTAGCTTCATTGAGCTAGAAGTGAAAGCAGAGTCATTCATAGCTTCTTCCAAGTTCATTGAGCTAGAAGTGAAACCAAAGGGCTTTGGCATTTCCGTATTGCACATGCACTGCAGCTTCTGAATGTACTCATTCATCAACCTTCGTCATTCGTAGGGAAAACATCATTGTTATGGAGGATTTGCCTTCTGAAAACCAGCAAATAAGTGTTCATGTGAAACAGAGCGAATGAAATGTGAGTTTAATATATTTTTTTTCCCAGCGTCGTTTAGATAACCAGGGCCGAATTATGTTATTTGGTTCGGAAATCTACTACCGAAATAATTATTTATTTTCGGAAGTTGTTGTCTGAACAAAGTAATAAATTTCAGAAGTTGTTGTCCGAACAAGGTATTTAAATTCGGAAGTTGTTGTCCGAACAAAGTTAACTTTTACAACATTCAATTTCCGAAATTTGAAAATAAATTTGGACAACTACTTCCGAATGAAGTAAAAAAAATTTTTCCCATTTTATATTCCAAATTTGCAAACTGCATATCAAATTTACAGTTTCAAATTGCAAATTAATCTTTATAATGTCATTAAAAATTTGTAATGTTATACAAAACATGCAGGAATATGTGTCAACTCAAGAAAGTCAGGTTTGCGCGAATTTTGTATTAGATTACGCCACTCAATTCACAACTGAACAGGTTCACTCTACGAAATCATAACGATTATGTTTCGAATTGCTCACCAAATGGAAATGTTTGATAATATTTATTTAACTTTGTAGGTATTCAAAAGTAAGGATGAATTGCTCAACTGGGTACATGAAGTTAGAAAGAGAAATGATTTGGTCATTGTAATCAAAATATCAGACTATGGTGGAGGGAAAAAAAGACCCATGATGTATCTTGCTTGTGAGAGGAGTGGCCAATATAGAGCAACAAAGAAGTTAAAACATGGTGGCAACAATACATCAAGAATAACCGGTACGAAGAAGTGTGGCTGTCCTTTTGATATGAGGGCTCACAGGTTTACCACACATGATGAACGGACATTGACCGTAGTATGTAGATTGCATAATCATCCACTTGCGGAGCACCTCGAGGGACATTCATATGCGGGGAGGCTATCAAAGGATGAGAAAGCATTGTTAATGGATATGTCAAAGAGCATGGTTCGGCCAAAAGAAATCCTAGTAACCTTGAAACAGCGAGATGCCCTAAATGTAAGCACACTTAAAACCATTTACAATGTACGCCATTGAAACAAGATGGTACAGAGAGCTGGAAGATCACAGATGCAACACTTATTGGGTGAATTGGCCAAGTATAATTACATTGAGCGCCATCGGTCTGAAGAGTCCACGATGACTGTGGCAAACTTGTTTTGGGCACATCCTACCAGTTTTGATTTATTTCGGTCTTTCCCACGTATATTAATTATGGATTGCACATATAAAACCAACAAATATCGGCTTCCTCTTCTTGAAATTGTGGGAGTGACATCAACTGAAATGACATTCTCTGTAGCTTTCGCATACTTACAGTCTGAGAGGGTCGATAACTATGCGTGGGTGTTAGCTACATTGCGTGATGTCATGGATGGGTTTGTTGTGCCAACAGTTATTGTTCCTAACAGAGAGCTAGCCTTGATGAATGCCATACAGAAGATATTCCCGAGTGCAGACATTTATTATGTCGTTGGCATATCAGTAAGAATGTGTTGACCAAATGTAAGAAAATGTTTGAGACACAGCAGAAATGGGAGAAGTTCAACCACGAGTGGAACTCTGTAGTGTATTCATCTTCTGAAATTCAATACGATGAGCGTCTTAAATCATTACTTAAGGAATTCAGTAGTTATCCTAATGCAGTCAAATATGTCATGGATACTTGGTTGGTTCCTTACAAGGACAAATTTGTGGCGGCATGGACAGACACGTGTATGCATTGTGGCAATGTTACAACGAACCGGTAAGATTACTTTTCTTCAATATGTTATTAATAAGTGCCATGTACTTGATTTTAACTTGACTTACATTGAATTAAACAGGGCTGAGAGTGCACATGCAAAACTTAAAAGACAATTGGGTTCATGTCAAGTCTCATTTCAGGCATCATTTGAGAAAATACACAGTCTGCTTGAGTTGCAACACACTGATATCAAGGCTTCATTTGAGAAAAGTCTAACTGTTGTGCAACATCAATTTAAACCTTCTCAATTCAGGGAGCTACGGGGTAATGTGTCTATCTCTGCATTGGAGTATTTGCTTGTAGAGAGTAAGAGAGCCAATTCCATTGGTATTGATGTTGAAGCTTGTGGATGCGTCCTTCGCCACACTCATGGTTTACCTTGCGCCCATGAGATTGCTGACTACATCAGACAAGATCGTCCTATACCACTTGCTACCATACACTCACAGTGGAGGCAACTTTATATCTCCATATGCAAGAAAGAAGAGGAAACGGAGGTGACTTGTCATGCAGAAGTAGAGTTGTTTGTGAACAAGTTTAATGAAAATGATAGAACCATGCGGTTGGAGCTTTTGAAGAAATTGAAAGAGATTGTATATCCGAGAAGCACTTTTCTTGTTGAGCCAGAGGTGAAGCCCAAAACACGTCATCGGGATCATAAGAAGATTAATGTTTCTACCCGTCGTGATCCGTGTGCATTTGAGTTAGTGCAATCTGGACATGGTTTTTCTCACCTACGGACACTCAAATCACTACATTAGCTTTTACTCTGCAAACCAAGAAGAAACAACCTGTTAAGGGAAAGGAGAAGGTGAATCCGAAAGGGAAGGCATACATTACTAGAACAGTGAAACCTGGTGCATATGTTGATGCTTTCCCTGCTGGGTTGAAACCATACATTAAGTTTGTGAAGGATGTAGCTGCAGATGGGAATTGTGGTTTCAGGGCTATAGCTGCTTCAATTGGTCATACAGAAGATGATTGGGCTCGGGTTAGGCGTGATCTATTGGGTAAGCTGCACACGCACAAAGAGGAATACATTACACTTTATGGGTCCTATGAAAGGTTTGAAGAATTGACAAGCATATTGTCATACTTTGAAGACAGTCCTGGATACTCACATTGGATGACTATGCCAGACATGAGGCATCTTGTTGCATCGTGCTACAATCTTGTGTTATACCACTTGTCTTTACAACAATGTCTTACCTTTTTACCTCTTAGAACAGTGCCAGTACCTCAACTTGATAGACGTGAGATTGCCATTGGGTTTGTCAACGGAAATCATTTCGTCTAGGTATAACATAAACTTATCAATTGGGTTTGTGCATGTACAAGAAATTATGATGTATTACCACTAAGTCAATTGATATTTGGTGCAGGTTTTGTTGCAGCTAGGCCATCCAGTTCCTCCTATTGCCACTAATTGGAGAAAATACCGTCACCCTTGCGCTGTCGACTGGGATGATGTATATGTGCGTCGCATTCAACATTTCAAGGACATTATTCATGATAATGTAGCTACTCGAGAGACTTTTGATGTTGTTGATGTCGCATGACACATGTATGCATTTGACAATGTTAGAATTATGGAAGAAATTAATGGATGTGTTTTTGATGTTGATGTGTTATTTTTGCAATGTGGATTGAATGTTGTCGACCATTGTTACCATTCCATTAAAATAAGAAAATATCATTTACAAAATCAACGACCATTGTTACCATTCCATTATGATAATAAAATGTCATTACAATGTCATTACAATACCATTGTTGCCATTCCATTGTAATAAGAAAATATTAACCACTATTACCATTACAACAATGTCATCTTACAAAAAACACCAAAAAAAATTCATCAACTAACAAAATAACATGTAACAAAATAACATGTCACGAATCAGCTATATGCCTACGCCTAGGCCTACGATTGTATGTCAATGTCGAAGATGGAAAGCGACCTCCAGTATAACTAGGTCCAGCTTCGTCAATGTGCTGACCTTCAAGAACATGTGTCATACTCTCGATAGCCTGGTAAAGTCGATAAGGATGGCGAATCCCCTCCTCATAACCAGCGTCAATAATAGGAAGTGAAATCTGCAGTGCATGTGCAATACGCTGCATTTGAAAAGAATATCACATTTTAGGGAACATATCAAAAAAAAAAAAAAGTAAGTTACATATGCATCAGAGAGGATAATAGATTACATCCGCATGTTCGCTGAAATCCTGATGGTCATGGACACGCGGTTCATCAGTGTGCTCGACATATAGGTGTGTGATATTCTTATACCAATCCATGTAACCCGGTACACATTGCCAAGGCTGACGAACTGGTATGCTCCTCCGTTGCTCAGATAACACGTGGTTATCCCAAGCCTCCCAAATCCTATCCAAGTATCTGTACATGACTGTATATCGTGCAGATATGTTGCCTCGCGCACCATGACTGGGAGCTAGCGGTGCATCTGGGATGGTTTGAACCCTGCCAAACTACCTCAAAACTCTATCTGGATGATAGGGTTCAACAACAGGGTTCAACAACGTCTAAGCACTTTAAGCATCCATGGTAGAACGTAACCGGGTTACATGGATGCCGGTCTCTGCAACTGTGGTATGGATCCTAAATAACCTGTAAACGTAAAGTATTTTTGAATTAAAGTACATAAAGGGTAAGATAAATGGAAGTGTTAAAATTATCGTAGTATGAGTAAACTTACATCAGTAGCTACCAAACTGTCAAGCTCGGCTCGAAAAGATTTCAAATGCTCAATGGAGGAACCCGCCTCTCTCCTAGATGCCCAATGGTACACGTGTGGCATGTCTTCATTGTAGCCCATGTTCTGATGAGGTCGGAATACTCGAAAGTGCTCATAAATCGACGCCTCTAAAAGAGTCATATAACCACCCATCTGCTTTACCCCAGACTGGCTAGCATACCCCAAATGTCTGTATAAAAATGCTAATGCAGCAGCACCCCAGGCGTAAGTATGTATGGATCCCAAATCCATCAATAAGCCAAGGTAAACAACGGGAACCCTGCCGCAACTCTTGTCACTGAAGAGTGTACATCCCAACAGAAACAACAAATAAGCTCTAGCAGCGCACTGTATAGCTTTCTCGGGGTCTGAATCTGTCATACCAGCAAACTGACTTCGCAACCATTCAAGCCTGACTGAATTGTCACCAGCAGAAAAAACCTCTTCATGTGCTGCACGTTCAGTAATCCCCAAGCCACAAACGAGTAATGTAACTCCATGATGATCTATCACATCTGGTATGCTGACTGATTTGCCTATAATGGGAAGGCCAAGAATAGTGCCAACATCATCCAGGGTCAAGGTCATCTCACTAACTGTCGTGTGAAATGCGTTCGTATCAGGTTGCCATCTCTCAACAAAACTGGAGATTAGAAGCTTGTTGACGAATCGATAAGTGCAACGAGCTAACTGTGACAATCCAGACTTCTCAATAATGGCTTTGAATCTGGTGTTGTTCTCTACTAACCACCATGGCCATGCAAGGATCTTAGAAGAGTGATTATGACACTTTAGGGGCCCTCGTTCCTACAACACAAATGATATCTCATTACACACTACCATACAACACTCACACAAAAAAAAAAAACTCATATACAAATTAATTTCACTTTTACTGAGGAATGTTTACCTTCCTGTGCCAAATAGCTGCAGCCACATGACTATTGAAACTCCGCAGTATTGACGGATCAGTCGGTCCACCTGGAAAAGCATAAGTAAGGTACTCTTCCTGGACAGGAGGAGAATCAGGTAAAGAGGTATCCTCCACAGCAATGTCAGGCATATCATAACCTTCAACTCGTCTTTGGCTTCGGCTCTGACTTTGACTGGCACTGGGAATATCATATTCTACCGAAACTGGATCACGACCTCGACCACGACCTTGACCTCGTCCTCGCCCACGCCCTCGTCCCCGTTCACGGTCTACATCCAATTCAAGACGTCGTCTATTTGAAGTAGTAGGTGGGACACGTTGTTGATATTCAGAATCCATATTATCTGCAAAAAAAAATAATAAGTGTGTGTAATGAGTGTGTGTGTAAATAAAGAGAGTGTGTGTAAAATTAATGAGAGTGTGTGTAAAATTATAATAAGTGTGTGTAAATTATAATAAATGTTTTAATTAAGTGTTTTAATTAAGAAGGGGGGGAAAAAAAAAAAAACCTGTTCGGAAGTTCACAACCGAAAATACATATTCTGTTCAGAAGTTGAAATCCGAAACAAAAACATAATTTCGGAGGTTGAGTGTTGTCCAAATTCAATTTTTTTGAAAGTTGACTATCGAAACAATGTAACATTTTCGAAAATCTACTGATGAAATTATTGATTATTTTCGGATTCCTACGTCCGAACACATTGCTATATTTCAGTTAACCAGTTTCGAACGACGGTTCCAAGTGAAAACTCTACATTCCAAGTGAAAAACTCTACATTATAGATGAAAATGAGGATTGAATAGGTATGATGATTCAAAAGTAAACTCACCTAATGAGGATTGAAAATCTGATGGAATGCTTCAATGGGATGCAACTTCGTGGATGAAATGCTTCAATGTATTTGCACACCTGGGTTGCACACGGTAATGAGATGGAATGCTTTAATGTTTTTGCACACGTTTGAAGATGTGCTACAGTTTGAATAGGTGCTTCAGCTTGTATGTAATGGAATGCTTCAAGGTTGAAGATGTGCTTCAGATTCAATAAGTGTGTGTATTTTGGGTCGGGTGTGTATGTGTGTGTGTGTGTGTGTGTGTGTGTGTGTGTGTGTGTATGAGGGTACATTTGGAACTCACCATGTGTGTACTGAGGAAACTAATTAGGAATTAATTTTTTTGGTGTGTGTAATGAGAAGGATGTGCAAAGAGGGGATTAGGTGTGTGTATATAGAAGCCCCTAGCCCCATCCCTAGCCCCGTTTTTTCCCGAAATAAAATTACCAAAATATCCCTCTATCCATTTATACATATAACTCCCCTCTATACAATCTAATCTGATCTGGGTCTCTCATTACTCTCACCCTGACTCTCTGATCTGTTTCTCTCTGTCTCTTTATTATCTCCACAGATGGCTTCTCTGCCTCTCGTCACCTCTTCCACTGTCGCCTTCTCCTCCTCCTCCAAGCCACTACCGCCTCATCCTCCTCCTCCCCTTCCGATCGTCCTCCGTCGTCCATCGCCTCCATCGTCGCACTCACAGCCACCCATCGTCTCCGAATCTTCGATCGTCCTCATCTGTCGTCCATCGCCTCCATCGTCGCACTCACAGCCACCCATCGTCTCTGAATCTTCGATCGTCCTCCTCCGTCGTCCATCGCCACTGTTCGCGACGCCGATCATTCTCCTTCGACCACCATCGCCTCCTCCGATCTCTTCCATCATCCATCGTTTCCCTCTCTCTCTGTCTTTGTCTCTCTCTCTCTGTGACACAGATCTCAGATCTGTTTGTATGTATACATGTATGTCTGTATATTTGTCCTTTTTTTTTTATGATATGTTGATGATTGGGGATGTTGTTGGTTGGGGATGATGATAATGTTGTTGTTGTTGTTGATTGTGTTACTGTTAAAACAGATTTTGGGGGCGGGAAATTTTCGGGGTTGGGAAAACCCGATCCTCGTTGGAGGGCGGGGATGGGGATGGTGGTAGGTTCCCTGTCGGGGATCGAGGCCGGGGAGATTTTCACAATCGGGGATTGGGGACGGGGACGGGGAGTGTGATCCCCGGCCCCGCCCCGCCCTGTTGCCATTTCTACATGCTAGTTTTGTGGTAAATATCTTAGGGTTAATTACACTTTTACCCGCTAAACTATCCCATTTTGTTGATGTAATCCTTAAACAATTTAATTTTGTCTGGTTAATCCCTAAACTATCACATTTTGGTTTTGTTTAGTCTAAATAGTAGATGGCATCCAAATTGGTAATGGCAAAGGTGAAAACGTGACCTGTACGCGAAATTCAAAACTGGTAAAAGGGTAAAACAGACTTTTCACCTATATCTCTATTAAAATATGTATATATATCAATAGGAGGAAACTTATACGTCATATGTATTTGATATAATTATGAGAGAACAATTGGGATTTATCTAGGGTTTCAAAATTTTACCTAAATCGACTCGATTTAGGTTTGGATTTGTGTGAATCAACAACATTAGAAGGGTTTTGCACCAGTGTTTGTATTTATTGAGTTTGATTTCGGATGGATCAATACGATGAAGATGAACACGAACATGGTGAACTCCAAACCTGTAAGTATACTTCTCTCATTCTCTCTCTTGTGAGTTTACGTTTGTATGGTTGATTGTGCATTGTTTTTTTTTTTCAGCTTGCATATTCGGTGTTTCTGTAACTATAAGTAAAATTATTATTTAGGCATTCTATATTTTTTTAAACATTATTTTTTGTTTGTTTTTGGGACAAAAATTAAGAAAGTGTTGTAGGTTTTATATAAAATAGTGTTCTATTGTATCAAAGTCTTGAAAGTGATGCTTTTAAGAATTTTTTTTTGTTTGTTTCTATCAAATACTTAACAGAAAAGTGTTGTAGTTTTATATTAAAAAAAATACAAAAAAGACATTGTGGGTATGTTTGGTTTGGATTTGTAGAGTGATTTTGAGAAAAAATTTCTAAAAAATTTGTTTGGTTTGTAAATTTCCCAAAACAATTTCTAAAATCACTTTATCTCTCTTACCTATCAATCAATCAATTTTTCTCTCACACATATCTACTCAATTATAACAAAATATCAAATCATTCCAAACTCCCAAACTCCGAAACTACTTTCAAAATACACAACCAAACAAACCAAAAAAATTTCTAAACTCTCTCCCCAAAACAATTTTTAAAAACTATTCTTCCAAAACCAAACCCTGTATTTTTTTATTCCATTATAGTCCCCATGCATGTCTCTGTTAATTTGATGATTTTTTGTCTCATGCATTTATAGATTGTGAGTAAGTTATGGCGGATTTGGTTTAGATCCGCCCCGTTGATGTTTTAGATCCGGGTTTCATTCTCCTATTTGGTTATTCATGTCTTGTGTTTCCATGATCCTTCATTGAATTTGCTTATTGGGGTATGTTAGTTATATTTGGAGTGGGTTGGTTACTCGTTTTAAAATTTGTTAATGCCCAGAATTTTGTTCTTTCGCTCGAGCGACACTTGTTGCGCTCGAGCAGTCTTTGTGAACCTCCAATACTTTTGTAGGTCTACAAAAAATACTGTGAGTGCGTATTCTTTCCTCGAGCGTAGCGACGGTCTCTTATCTGTAAAATTACTAGGAGGATGCATTCTTCGCTCGAGCAATGATTTCTGCGCTCGAGCGGTCACACCTTGTTGTGTCTGGTCACTCGAGCGACACTTCTTGCGCTCGAGCGATCTGTCCAAATTCAACAACTATAAAAGTCACTTTTGGTCATATCTAGGTCACTTTTCTCTCTCCCTTCTCTCTTGTTCCGGCATTGTTGAGCTTTCAAGCTCTTTCTCCTTGGTTTTCATCTACTTTTATACATCTTTGATCCCTAATTCGTTATACCAAAATGTAGAGTTTAGTGAGGGCTTCCATTTAATCTGAGTGGATCGTGTTTTCGTTGAAGTTGGATTTTCGGGCTTTCTTCTCTTAATTGCTTGAGTTAGGGATTCTTTTGCTCCTTTTCAATACTTCGTCTATAGATAGACATGTGATATATTTTACTGCATAAAAATCACATCTATTGTGGATCTTTTGAAAAACATAAAAGGGGATCTAGGGTTTAAATATTTCAAGTATAAATTGTGAAATTGATTGTTGTTGGGTTAATTGGAGGGTAGTTTAACTTGTTTCTGTTGAAAAGAGAGGAAAAGCCCTACTTTTGATAATTTGACCTAATAAACTAAAAAGGGGTAAAGTTGATTAAAGATTGTGTTTTGATAGTTTGAGTTGTGATTATTATGTTGTTAGTATAAAGAGTGAATAAATTATGGTACTAGAAATTTATTTGGATAATCATGTTAAGTTAATTTGGATTATGGCTTGGAAATCCTTGGATGTGGTTCTATTGAAATGTTGAAGATTGTTTTTGGAAAACAAAAGAGTTGATTTCGAAAAGAGAAAAAAGCCACGGCATGTTGGAAATCTAGATTTGAACATGAGGTTAGGCTTTCAAACCTTATTGTTATTATCATTGTTGTTGGACCTAAGGTCAAGTAAGTATTGGATTATCATATTACGTATATTTAAATACTTATGCTTAGAGGTTTGTCCTTGGTCATTGGTGGAGGATGACATTGTGATGTTGAATAGATTATGTGTATGTAGTACGCTCGGAATTATTTGTATTGATTGAATAGATTTTTGTGTATGTAGTACACTCGAATTATGTTTATTTGTTGATTTATGCGATGGTTGGAAATGTGTAAGCACCGAGAATAAGAGGTACCATTACCTTCCAGCTAGCGCTTGGAGAATTAGCTACGTGGAGAATATGGGGTGCCAGTACCTTCTAGTTAGCGCCTGGAGAACTTGGCAGAGATACCATTACCTTCTAGCTAGTGACTGGTAAATTGGCATGAGTATTAGAAAGGTATATCCTTGGCTTATCATATTTGATTGGAAAGGTGTATCATTGGCTTATCGTGTTTGATTGGAGAGGTGTATCATTGGCTTACCGTGCTTGATGCAGGAAAAGCGTTGTTGGGTTTCTCGTTTTTATCTCAGTTCTCTTGATATGTTTCATGCATAGTGATGATTATTTTGTGAAGGATGTCACTTGTCTCATATGGTTATGTGAGAAGTATTTTATGTGTATTGTCTTCATGTCCATTTGGGATACTTCTATTCGAAAATCGTAACTTGGAATTGGGTGTGAGTTCAGTAATTCGGAAAAGTAATTGGATTTCTGTCACAACCCAAACCCACCCCTAAGGGTTTAGTATCGTAACTAGGGGTGTGCATAATATCGCCGAAACCGCCGAAACCGCCAAAACCGCACCGAACCGCACCGCCAAGGCAAATTCGTTAT